CCCCCCCCCACCCGGTAAGGCCCCGAGAGTCGGCGCGAGACTCGGTCGCGCATCCTCCGTTTCTTCCTCTCAGGTTCTCGAGGGGCACCCCCGAGGGAGGGAGGGAGGGAAGGGGAGGGCGGGGGGTGTGTGTGGCCGTCCCCGCAGTTCCTTCATTAGCGTTAGCAAAACAGCCAAAGGGGCGCTGTGGAGTTTGGGAAGGCGCCCCCCCCCCGGACGTTCACAATGGTGTCCTTTAGGGACTGGGGGTGGGTGGAGAGAAGCTGCTTGAAAGGTAGGAGGCGAGTGGCTGGCTGTTGTTCCTTGCCTAGTGCTTTTGTTTACGGCTGGGACGAGTAAGTGGGGGGGGGGGCTTGCTTTTTTTTGGGGGGGGGTCTTGGTTTTTCTGTGCTGCTGTTTGATGGTAGAAGTTTGTGGGTTTCGAAAAGTGCTTCGGAGTTGCCCACCCGGAATAAATCGGCTCAGCAGTTTTCACAACTGAACTATATATATTTTTTAAAAAAATCCAAAATGTCTGTCGTGTTGTTTGAACTAGTGCAGTGGACGAGTCTGTGAATGGAGGGTGTCAGCTGATGTTTCTTAAGGGGGAAGTGGCCTAATGAACTGCGAGCTCACGATCCGGTGCATGTCTTCTCAGAAGTAAGTGCCAGTGAGCTCAGAGGGATTTACTACCCAGTATGGGTCCAGAAAACTACTACTTAATTTTGTTTAGAAGTTAAAGGGGAAATATAAGGGTGTCATGTTTATAAAGTTTTCAAAGTGCTTGAAGTGTTTTTTATACGTTATCTAATCATAGTCTAATTACGGGAACACAGATGATGCCTGGCACAATGCTGTGATCAGAAATTTTGAAATGATAGGTTGTTGTATCAGGTGTCTTGGATTCTGCTTTTTAACAAATCTTTGTTTTTAAGAGATTCCTATGACTGGATATCCATTTTGAAACAATAGTTTAAAATTGTGAACATTCCTTCTTTCCATATTGTTCAGGATAGTAGTAAACCCAGTTGCCTGAAAGTAACTGAAAATTTGGGGTCTGTGAAGTCTTGAGTCTTTTTCAAGCAGTCATAAAACATAATACTGTATGAAGTCTGATTTAGGTGTTTCCCCCCAAGAAACTTTGTTTTGGAATGTTAAGAGATCTTTTGTTATCTGCTTTAGGGCAAGGTTGGAGAATTGCTAGGGATTATATTGTTTTGTATGGAGTATTTGATATTCATTACACTAGAAACAGTGATTTGTCAAAAATAGTGCATGTGGCATTGCAACTAGACTTCTTGCAGAATTGGCTTGGTGAGAGTAACTTCATTATTCCCATATTACGACAAATTAATTTTGGAAGAAGAGAGTCTAGGAAGAAATATTTCTTCTGATTGTAATTCGTAGTATGTGGGTTTAGGAGGGAGTTACACAGATATTGTATTGTAATTTTCCTTTAATGCTAGTGTTGTTTAGCACTGCAGCCTCCATAGCAATACTCTCCACACACAGCTCCACATGAGAATCTTCACATTCACTATAAAAAGGACCAAAAGGCAGCATAAGAAATGGTTTTAAAAGTTTGCAAAACAGTCACATTGTAATGGCAGTGTTATCTAAATATTGTAATGGGTAAATTATTTCTTATTACTATAGGCATTGAAAAATAAATCAAGGAGCCAGATTCATTTTTCAGCCTCTAGGGTTTTGATAGCTGGATTTTGTGATAGGTACTACAAAAGCTAATGCTAACTTTTTTCCAGCATTGTAGCATATAAATACAGGGCAATTATCACCAAAATAAACAACTGTTGGCACAAGTGCAAAAACACCTATTTTGAAGATCTGTAGGACTGTTTTTTTCAAAAAGGAAGAGGACCACCCCAGGTTTAATTGCCAATATACCCCAGGAGCAATGCTCCCTCTAAGCTGTGGAGTTTTATGAGCAAAAATTCTACTTTGTAAGCTACTGGCATTAAAGTTGTGAGCGAGCTATTTGGCTTCTGCATAAATTAGTTTGCCCTGGAGCCATTCTTTCTGAGCTAAGACAAAAATGTGTGAACTGGAGGCTAAAAAACTGTGAGCTAGCTCACACTAACTCAGCTTAGAGGGAACATAGCCCAGGAGCTATTAGTTCTATTCTAAAGATATATACCTTTTCATGGATACTGCTTCATTACTCAAAATGCATGAATGCAATATGAATGTTACATTGTGTCTTTCTGTGCCACAAATATCCTTGTCACCCATAACAATGAGGATGGAGTGGCGCTTTCCACAGTTTTTTATGCTGCCTTTTCACCTGACCAGGTTCTCCAAAGCGGCACACATTAAAAAAATCATTAAAACAGTTGAATAATTGAAAGCTTATATTAAAAAAAAAACAACAGTACAAACACATAAACAATACCAGAACCACAGAGGATGACCAATAATTACATTCATCTAAATATTGTAATGGGTAAATTATTTCTGTTATTAAGGGTATGCCGAATGAAACAAAAAATCTTTACTCAGTGCCAGAAGACACCAATATAGGGAGACAGATTAATTTTCCTGGGGGGGCACTTTCAGAGTTTTGGTACCACCCCCTAGAAAGCACGTTCTTGGATCATCACCCATCTAGCCTCAGATGGCAACCAAAGCAGGGCATCCGAAGATGACCACTTAGCAGACTCCCTCTGGTGATGGGAGCTGTGGGAAACAGTATCAACCAAGCATTCCAAAAACACTGTCTTAGCCTGGCTGCTGATCGCAACAGCCCTTGTCCATTCACTCTCTTCAGTTGTTATCAAAGAAGAGGGCCAGCAAGCTTCAGAAAGGTCCACCTCGTCTTCATTATAAGGTGTGGGGCAGAGCTTTCTGAATCTGAGTGCTTCCAGTAACAGCTGGGGAAAGGAAGTTAATAATAAACGTTGGGAGCAGTACAGCCAAGCCAAGAGATAACGTGGAGCATACCTGGAACTGTAATGAAATTTCTATCCATCATGGTGACTTGTTGCCTAAGACAGGGGTCATTTCCTGCAGGAGCGCACAGGAGCGGAGCTCCGGCAGTAAAGAGCCCAGGGGGCGGGCACATGCAACAAACCCCACCCCCTGCTCCTAGCAGCCATCAGTCAGAACAAGAAGCAGCCAGGTAAGTTGCAGAGCTCCCCCTGCCCCCCCCAGTCCAAAACAGTCCAGTGGCACCTTTAAGACCAAGTTTTATTCAGGTACAAGCTCTCCCTCCTCTGCAAGGACAGATCTGCATGTTCTCCACCCCCTCCCAATAGCTAGGTATCCAAAACAGTCTAGTGGAGCCTGAGTGGTGGATGTTGCCTTCTGACACACTTCTGGTGATGTCAGGGGGTGTGGCATATGCAAATGAGCCATGCTAATGAGTTATGCTAATGAGCTCCTGCACCTCTTTTTCTACGAAATGACCCCTGGCCTAAGATATGTTGAACCCTGTATTCACAGAAAATATTTTGACATTTAATTTAGGTAATTGTAGCCTGCTTTTATTTCTAGTGGAGACCTACAACAGCTTATAACATTGTTTTCTCCATTTTATCCTGCAACTGAAACGCTGTGAGGTAGGTTATGCTGAGAGTGTGTGACTGGCCTAGGTCACCCAGTGAGTTTCCGTGGCAGAATGGGGATACTTGAACATGGGTTGTCTGGCAATTTGACTATTATATTGCACAGTTTTCTAGTTTGACTACTAGGTTACACAGTTTTCGAAGTAGCAATAGAGGTAGAATGCGTAAACCAGGGTTGCATGTAAATATAAAAAACCCAGCTAGATTGGCTTGAGTGATGACTCTGCTGAGTTTCTCTGAGAAGAATGGTTGCTAAAGTGGGTCAGTAGCAAGGGTGCACTAGTAACATTTGTGTTGTTTATCAGAAATTAAACCTAGAAATCTACAAGTCTGCAGTGACGGAGGTTAAACAGCCTGAACGGCTTTTTGCTTTGTACAGTTCATGCTTTGGAGTAGTGTACAGTGTTTAGACATCAGATTTCACAGTGGAAATTCCTGTATACATTGTGTATATGCCATGAATGGGGTAAAAGTCTGAGAAGGAGCTTGGAAGAAATTCTAAGCTGCTTGGTGCCTAGCAACACATTGCTTTGCTTCTCTGATCTGCTGCAAGGAAAGAAACTTTCTGAGCTGAGTTTGAGTCCAGAATTGATATAGTCCTTTGGACGGTAGTCAGAATATGTAAAGGCTTCTGACCCAAGCTTCTTAGGATTCAGCCTTTAGGGAAACAGACATACCAAGACAGGCAAGCAGAGACGAGGAGCTTGCTAGTATAGGTACAAAGTCAATAAGAATCAGGGAGTTCATTGGTGAGTTGATACCCCCAGAAGGAGGAAGCAGGGAGTGCAGCGTGTACTGATGTAGTCATACTGACATAGTTGCAACAGTGTATTTCAAAATTGGTCATATTTATTCTGTGGCATAGAGCCACTGCCCTATGGCACACGAGACATGTATGGTTTGACAAAGCATGAGTCTCATGGGTGCCCTTCTGTTTAAACAGATACATTTTCATCCTCCTAAGTGTAGGGTGCTGCTCTTTCTTGAGGCCTTTAGAATTGCATATGCAGGTATGATTAACTAAGTTTCAGCATGGTATTATGGCAAGTTAGTTTTAAGTTAAACATTGAAATCAAGCAGCTGACCGTCATGTTCTGAATTATCGTTTTGCTTTTAGTTTCCAGTTACACTGATCTTACTTATGTCAAAATTATCCTAATCCTAGACTACATACTACATGTCATGATTG